TCCCACAGGTCACGGAGGGATTTGTCAAGATCCACACGAATGTGTAAGATATGTTTCAAGGTTCCCACGGCTCTTTCGGATTCCTGAGGGAACCCAAGGGGATTCGTGAGGGCTCTTGCGAATTCCATGCCGGATTTCAGACGGAAGCCGAAACAATTGTTTGGCAACAGTTTTTGCACGCGGGATTTGCCGATGAGGTGTCTATACCCTATTTCTGGAACGACTGATTCCGTGATTCCGTAGTAACGAATCAGTCATTACCTTGCCAACGTTCGTTGTCTGTAGTTCATCCAGCCGTAGTTATAGAAAAAAAACCACGGAGTCCATATTAGGGAATACTTATTCAATCAGGATTGGCCATCAAGGAATATGTATCATGTGTGTTTTAGTACGGAGTATTTCCCACAGGCTCGTTCGGCAGGATATCGTAAGGATTAGTAATTGGTTTTACCGTAAGGACCCCGTATGAAGGAGTCTTGATTCGGACCCCGACCAAGAATTATGGATCATCCAGTACGGATTGTGTAGTGAGGATGCTTCGATACATGATTTCGAGTGCGGGTTCCCACGCAATGGTGTTGTGTTGCAGCTTATTCATTTCGAAAAGGCTCTGCCGAAAAAAGGTTGCCTTACGACAGATTCCTTAAAGCGGGTGTTGTTGTCCATATCATTTGGGGAGGAGTCCGCATTAAGGATTGCTTACGCGGACTTCCTCAGCGCGGTTTCCTACTTAGGGCGTCCTTCCGGGTAACCCCGTAACTGGAGGCTCTTTGTCACGATTCCGCATGTAAGTTTTTTATATGAAACAAATCCGCGTTCAGTTCCCCCAATCGAAGGTTTCAGTTTGGGGATTTATTCGCACGGGCCCCTTACGGATGAGATTTGCTTCAGGTTTCTTGACCAAGGGATCCTGGACATGATTTCTTTTTTGCAGAATTTTTGCGCCAGCTTCTTTATCAACGGTTTCCGTCGATGGACTCTTTACTAAGAACTCATTGCTGGGTTTCTTGATTAAGGATTACCCGAGCAGAATTCTTTACGAAAGGGTTCCTTACCCTGGGTCCTACCGTCGTTGTCGCACCTGTTCAGTATTGATTTTTTGTGTGAAGGATTCGGTTTTGATGGGTATTGGCTAAAGATGTTCCAGTGAGGATCCACGATTTTGTTTTTGTCCGTTTGGGTTCTTCTTTAAGGATTCCGTTTTCAAGCTTCCTCAGTCCAGATTCTGGCCCCATGGGTCATGGGTCATGGTTTTTGACGATTGATTGTTGTAGCGGAAAATCCTTTCGTCTGGATGTATTCAAGCGTCCGTATTCCAGGTTCTGTGTGAGCCGTTCTTTGTTAAGCGTTTTTTGTTGAGGAGTTCGTGGTAAGGAGTCTTCATTCAGGATTCCGTCGTAAGGATTTGTCATGTAGGGTTCTTGACCAATGGTTCTTCCGTGAAGAGTCTTTACCCAGGACCTTTTGCGCAAGGATTGTTTAGCCAAGATTCTGCATGAAAGTAGCACGATGCAGCAGTCATTGCAGTGGGTTCTAGACTAAGGATGGTGTTTTCAAGTTCTTTCTCTCATGCTTCTCCATTGGGGATAGCTTCTTCATGCTTCATTTTTCATTTGCTCGGTTACGCGTTCCGCACTGAGATTTCGATGCGGAGGACTCATGGCGAAGGGTTCCTAACGAATAAAACTTCCCTGGTGATCCGCGAAAGATTCTTCACCACGGGCTCTTGATTCAGATGTTTGAATCAGGGGCTCCCAAGCCAAATTCTTCATTACTGATTCCGCATCGAAGATTTCTTATTGAAGATTCGTTGCCGAGGAGTGTTCGCGAACGATCGATTATTACGGAATCTTTACGAATGATTATTGGGCAACGCTTTTGGCCAAGGAATGTATACGAATGTTTCGTTTGCAGTTTATGTTGTGTATCATAATTTCCGTTTGCAAGGTTCATTCATGAACCATTATTGGTTAAGGATTTTGCTGTGGTGACCGCATTCAAATCGGTGAGGGATCGTTTGTGGCACCCTGTGCAACGCTTCGGGTACAAGACGCTGTCATGGCATGGGGGGTGGTGTCGCGCTTGGGTTTTCACCATGCCGGGGGGAAGCCCAGGCTGCGACCCATGGTCACGGGGCCGCAGCCCGTGTTTGCGTTTGTTGTTGTTGTTGAACATTATTTATTCTAAAGAATAATTATTGTTGGGCCCCCTGGTGCACGCCCCCCCTGCGCCGCCTAGGCCGCAGCTACATTTTCATCATTTTCGTGAGGAAGCCTCAGGTAAAACGATGTGATCCAGATCCGGTTGTTTTGTTGTAATCCGTTTTCCCTTGCAAAAAACACTATAAAATGACATTTCTTGTTCTAATATAATCAAATTTCAAGAATCCCTTGCAAAAAATAAGGTAAAGTGGACATTCGCGCGCGCAAGACGAAATCCTTCCAAAAGCTTAGTGTTCGGAGCGATTTTAACATAAAAACATCAAAAAACCAATGGTTTTTCAACAAAAAAATGTCAAAATCTCATCCCGCGCGCTCTTGCGGATTCGTAGGAAACCCAACACTTTTTAAACATTTCTGTCAAACGGGCTTTTGCGAGCAACTTTTTCGAACTTCTGCGACAACGGTTGCGCACCTGCCAGGGCCATCATCCCTGTCAAATAATACCATGCGGGACACATTCGTTTTTTCTTCGCGCGCGCACGCCGTCGTCGTCGGCCGCGGGGCCCTGAATAGTAGCCACGGTCGTCCGCATGCCACGAAGTGAAGTGTCCGAACGTCATAGGGCGGGAAGCTGGGTGTGGGTGGTGGCGAAGAGTCGTTTGGAAATTTGGTAGAGCTTGAACCGGCCCCCCCACAAAGTGGGGGTATTGCCCGCCTCCTATGAAAACCCTGGCACTGGTGAGAACGGAGTGTCCCCACGTGCTAGTAATTGTTGTTGTTGTTGTTGTTGAACATTATTACTTCTAAAGAATAATTATTGTTGGGGCCCCTGGTGCACGACCCCCCCGCCGCGCCTAGGCCGCAGCCTCATTTTCATCATTTTCGTGAGGAAGTCTCAGGCACAACGGGGGAGTCCGGATCCGGTTGTGTTGTTACGATCGGTTTTCCCTTGCAAAAAATGAGCTAAAGTGGACATTTCTTGTTCTAACATAACCAAACTTCAAGAATCCCTTGCAAAAAATAAGGTAAAGTGGACATTCGCGCGCGCAAGACGAAATCCTTCCAAAACCTTAGTTTTCGTAGCGATTTTAACATAAAAACATCAAAAAACCAATGGTTTTTCAAAAAAAACTGTCAAAATTTCATCCCGCGCGCTCTTGCGGATTCGTAGGAAACCCAACACTTTTTAAACATTTCTGTCAAACGGGCTTTTGCGAGCAACTTTTTCGAACTTCTGCAACAACGGTTGCGCACCTGCCAGGGCCATCATCCCTGTCAAATAATACCATGCGGGACACATTCGTTTTTTCTTCGCGCGCGCACGCCGTCGTCGTCGGCCGCGGGGCCCTGAATAGTAGCCACGGTCGTCCGCATGCCACGAAGTGAAGTGTCCGAACGTCATAGGGCGGGAAGCTGGGTGTGGGTGGTGGCGAAGAGTCGTTTGGAAATGTGGTAGAGCTTGAACCGGCCCCCCCACAAAGTGGGGGTATTGGCGGGCGTCGTATGAAAACCCTGGCACTGGTGAGAACGGAGTGTCCCCACGTGCTAGTAATTGTTGTTGTTGTTGTTGTTGTTGTTGTTGTTGTTGTTGTTGCTGTCTTGGTCCAGCTGCGTTGCCGCCCGGGTCTGCCATCGCGCCTGAGCGGTCGCGCAGAGTGGAGACAGCACAGCCCACCCCCACCCCCAGCAAGGACCCCCACTCCCGACCCGGTGACCCAGGGTGTTTGGGCCGGGGGCAAGGGTGGATTTTACAAGGAATGCCCCGACCCCCCAAGCAGGACCCCGTGGATCACCGCGTACGTTCGGATGCAATTCCTGGGATGTCTAATTCTGATTTTGCCCTGGTCCTAAATCCGGTTTAATCCGGCTTAATCCCGCCTGATCCGGCAAGATACCGCTTGATCCTTTTTAATTCGGCTTAACTCCGCTTAGTTCAGGGCCCACCCCAGCGCTACAGCCGCCCAGAGGGGTTTCATTCTCGTTGATCCTTCCGACGAAGACCCCCCAGTGGTTGCCTCCTGACCTATGGAGAGGGGGTCCTAATTGGGACGGGGGCGGGTCATACGGTCCTCGTGGAGGAGGGCCGGGGGGGGGCGACGGAGCGCGTTTGTCATGGGAATTGTCATCTGAGGTTTATGAGTTTTGTGCAATGATTCCTTCTGTTGGCAACCAAACTCGATGCGCTGGGAGGCGTCACGAACTACCGCGTCGCAAGCACGGAATCCATCTGGAAACAACAATGGACAGGCACACCGCATCCGCTGCAAGCGCCGCTGGCGTCTGACCTGCTGCGTTGGGGCCAGCTTTTCGCCCGGATCCATGTGAGATGGTCGGGGTCCCGATGACGGGCCCCAAGGGCCGAAATCTAAGAGGAACGCCGGGATCGAATGCATCATCTAAGCTGGCTTCGTGGGCCTGGCGCAGATCGGTCGTTGGCGAGAGGTGCAATCGTTAGTTAATTGTGCACCACTGCGCACGACAGTACGAAAACATAGCGGGGGCCCGCTAAGTATTGCACGGGCACCAGCTATTGCGTGCGTTAGTAGCTACACAGCTGCATCCACGCGCGACCAGCGCGCAAAGCATTGCATCCAGGTACCAGCTATTACAAGCACTATGGCGCCCATCCCTTCGGACCCATCTGCGTCAGACCCACCACTTCGTGATGACGAATCTCAGAAGCCAGGCGAAACTCAAGGACTTTGTTTTCTTCTTTGGGAAGCAGTCCGTTAATTATTTAATGCGCTGAGTTTGTTTCTGGGATTTAGCTGTTCTCTTCCACGAAGACCGTTTCAGCAGACACGGATTTGCCAGCTTTCGCCCAGCTTCCGACAGGAGCGCATCCTGCCCATGGACTTCTTCAACTGGCAGAGCGGGTCACTCGAGGCGAGCCGCGTGGCCCGGTGGAGCCTCACCAGCGGCTACGCCTGGCAGATCGGGCAGGAGCCGCCCGTGGCCCGTGAGCCCATGTGACGCTGCTGCTCATCCTCTGGCGCGCAGCGGGCAACGATCCTACGAGGGGGGGGGGGCCCTGGGGCATGAGACCTGCCGTTGTGCAGCGGCGTCGGGGGGGCGCGCCCCGGACCGCGCGGCCTGCAGCGCCGCGTTGTGCGCCCTCGCCCAGTGCGGCCAGCGGACGTGCCTCCTCGGCTCGTCCGACGTTGGGATGGTACTCCAGATTTCGTAATAAAGGGACGGGGGTCTCATTTCGGGGGGGGGTCTCGTCCAGGCTATCCTGGAGGGCCTGGGGGGGTCTGGGGGCGATGTTTTGGAGGGTTTTCCCACGGGGGGGGTCTGAAATGGCTTGTCTTGGAGGGTCCAGACCCCCTCCCTTTTATTACGAAATCTGGAGTACCCGACGGCGAGTCTTGTGTCTCGGCGATCGCTGGCCCCCCCCCCCCACGCATGCATGCTCGTGCTCGTGCGCGTACCAGGGCGATTGCAGCGCATCCCCGCCCCGACTTGCCCCATCCCGCGCAAGCGTTACCCTTGCAGGGCTTGGTTCGATTCCTCCGATTCGATTCAATTCAACTTCGATGGCTTCCGATTCCGATTCGATTCGACTTGGGATTCCGATTTGGGTTCCGATTTCTCAGTGGGGGCATACCAGCCTGCCGATGTCTGCCGATTCGATGTGTCCCGACTTGGCTGCCGATTTCCGCCGATCCGATTCGCTCCGATCGCCGATCCGACCTATCTTACCAGCCTGGAACATATCCCTATCCCTATGCTGGGCACCTCCTCATCACGATGCCAATCTTAGGGATTCCCTTTTGTTTGAGGGCGAATCCCTAAGATTGTCATCGCCTTTTGGCGTGTCAATCTTAGGGATAGGGATACGTTCGAGGCTGGTAACTAACGATTCGACTCCTGGCTCTCCCGCCCCTGCCTGGGGCCCCTCGTCTCCCCCGCCCCCCCGGTGGTGAACGACCGTGCCCGGAAGCAGAAAGAGTCTCCTCTGCAGGGACGCAGGGCCCAGCCGTGCCGTGTCTTTGTTGCGTGAGCCTCGGCTTCTCGGGGCCCGCTTGTTGGCCCCATGCTCAAATCGGGCCTGTCCCTCTACTGAGGGAATGTTCAAAAAAACAGTCAAAAAAATAGTCTGGAGCTGATTTGTGACTATTTGTAAACATGTTTCGATTGTGTTTAAAACAATTTCGTCAAACAATCCGCCTGTAGGAGGACGCGCCCGACCAACCCCATGCGCCGTTCAACCCTGCAATCTGGGGTGCTTTCGACAGGTGCTGGACCTCAGGACTATCTCAGATCGGTCTGGCTCGGGAAATGACGCAGAGAGGCCGGGTCCAGGTCTCTGGTCGTGATTTCTTGCGATGCCGCATATGTTCACAACGTTGGACTTCAGGGTACAGTGCCGTTTTTTATACATGCTCCGCGTGCGGATCATGTATTAAACATGCAGGGGCCTAGTATTAGAAACAACGATGCGTGCATGCACAAATTCATTCATACGTTAATCATGTATTAAAATCCTATAGGTTTAAACATCCTATGTATTAAACTTTGCCCTGTAGAAGCAACTCTGCGTGGATGGAAATCTGGGGCATTGTTAGGGGGGATGGCTCAGGGGGGAGGCGTCGACCCCGAATCGCCCACGGCTCGCCGAGAGAGGCCGACTGCCCACTCCGCCCGGGCACGCTGGGGCTCCCTATTGGGGTCACGCCGCTAGCGAGGTTCTGTCGGCGAGGCGTACCCCATTCCACTGTCGATGCTTCGCCCCCCTGAGCCGGCCCCCCCCCAACGTTGTTTCTCAGGCAAGCCGGTCGAGGGGAGCCCCAGGGTTCGAGTAAGGGATCGCTTACGTACATAGTTGATTTACCCCATGTTTGTTGTTCGTCGAATCTGTTAAGAATCATTCGAATGTTCCGCACCTCTGCGAAAACTCTACGTCTGTTGCTGTACCTCCGACCACTCAATCACGTTGGGGTGCACCAGTTCTGCAGTCGACCTCCTGCTCGAAGGGTGCCCAGGTCCTGATTCCTGGGGGCCCCCTCTCGGCTCGCGGCGGAGGAGATCCAGTGGCCAGGCGGTGCCCGCGCCGTCATCCAGGACGCGGCGCACCCGCCGTCGTTGCCGAGCGGGGCCCTCCCGGAGTGCGGCGCGGACGAGTACTACAGCACCGCGGAGCAGCAGTGCACGCCCGAGTGCCTGGCCGGCGAGGCCTGGACGGGGATCATACCTCGACTAGACGTAAGAGTAACCTTTCGCCGGAGTGACCTTTGGTGCGGGCACGGGTGGGTCCCCAGATGGCTGGAAACGAAGCAGGAGCAGCGGCTTGCGCGCCCAGGTTTGGCCCCCACGCGGCCCCCAAAAAGCCGCGCAGCAAAGGTCACTCTCACCCAGGGTCACTCTTGCGTGTAGCCGAATCTCGGGGGCGGCAAAGAGGGGGGTGAGGACCAGGGGGGGGGGATATCATGGCGGGGGCCATGATGTCTCCCCAGATTTCATGGCGCCTCCTCTTGTTTCATTACGTTTCTTGCCCCCCCCCCCCCCTCCCTGGGCCGCACACATGCCGCCGGCCATGATTTGCCCCCCCCCCCCTCTTGGACGCCCCCCTCTTGGCCGCTCCCGAACATCGGGACGATCGAGGCGGGCACGGGAAGAATGGGCACGATGCCCATCAGCAGTCCTCGTTTCTATTTCGAACAGGGCTCGCTGTCCGCGCCGCCGCGGACAGCCGCCTGCCCAACAGCGGCCGCCGTTTGGGCAGCATTTGTTGTTGGGTATTGTACCCACTTTTGTCCGTACCCACTTCGGGCGTCTAACATACAATCAAGACGTAGAAGTCAGAGCCACTTCAGGGTCGGAGGGGTCGGACGTCGTGGGGCCGTGCAGGGGAGCAGGAGGAGGAGGAGGAGGAGGAGGAGGAGGAGGAGGAGGAGGGACGGGGAGGGAGGATGAGGAGGAGGAGGAGGAGGATAAGGACGAGGACGAGGACGAGACGAGGACGAGGACGAGGACGAGGACGAGGAGGAGGAGGAGGAGGAGGAGGAGGAGGAGGAGGAGGAGGAGGGAGGAGGGAGGAGGGAGGAGGAGGAGAGGAGGAGGGAGGAGGGAGGAGGGAGGAGGAGGAGGGAGGAGGGAGGAGGGAGGAGGGAGGAGAGGAGGAGGAGGAGGGAGGAGGAGGAGGAGGAGGAGGAGGAGGAGAAGGTGGAGGAGGAGGTGAGGAGGAGGAGGAGGAGGAGGAGGAAGAGGAGTAGGAGAAGGAGGAGGAGGAGGAGGATGGAGGAGGGGCTCTGGTTTGAGGGCCGTGCCCGCGGTCGAAGTCGGGGAGCCTTCTTGGTCGAGGCTCGCAGTGGCCAGAAAATCCCCTTCGTTCTTGAATTTCATCGCCCACCAGACCACCCCAACCCAACCCGAAGGCCCCGATTTGCCCTCCATTTCCAGTGGGGGGAGGGGGGCGGGGAACATGGAAAAGCACATATGAAGCCCGTACACCCCGGAAACCGAAGTTCGGGTTGTCGGGTTGGGTTGGGGTGGTTTCGCAGGCAGTCATGATTGGCGTTCCTTCTGGTAGCACGTCGCAGATCTCGGCAGAGACGGGTCCTGGGACCTCCCAGATGGGGTCAGAGTTGATTGGGATCAGAGGATCGCGCCGCATCGCCGATGCATCGGCGACGCGGCTCGACGTGGAGCCCGATTTTCTTCACGCCTGCGGCTCCGATGCGTCGCCGACGTCGCCAATGCATCGCCAAGGCAGCCGCGATGCATCGGATAAATGCGGCGCGATCCTCCGACGCCATCTATTCGGACCCCCGCTGGGATGCCTCCAGTCATGGATCCCGAGCCCGTTTATTGTTGTGTTCAACGGCCCTGCGGCCCGGGCGGGGCGACCACCACCACCACCATGCCCGGCATGGCCATCAGGGGCCTCGGATTAAGGGAATGAGCAATGACAGAAGCAAACAAAACTCGGAGGGCCGTGCGGATTTCTCGGATCCGCGCTGGACGCCTCTGGCGCCGCGCCTGGCGCGCTCCGCGCGCCAGGGAAGGGGGTCAAGCGCCGATCCGGGAAATCCGCGCGGCCCTCCGAGTTTTTGTTTCTACAGTGGAGACCCGTGCCAAGCAACAGCCTGCTTGCCTCCAGGGTGCCCTGGGTTTCTTGGGTTTCGATGGTCTTGCTGTGGGAACACGTGACGTGCCCACACCAAGAATCAGTGGACCTCCTGGGGTCTCAGGGTTAGGTTTCTCGTGAAGTTTTTGTTCTGGACAGGCCCCCGCTGTATGTCATTGTTTGTTCCCCTCCGTTCGGATGCAACTCCTGGGCGGTCAAATTCTGATTTTGCCCTGGTCCGAAATCTGGCTTCATCCCGCTCAGTCCGGCTCAATCCTATTCAATCCCGCTCAATCCGGCTACATCCCGCTGAATCCCAGGCCCACTCTGGCGTAACAGCCCCCTTGTTGCCCTACGGATGGTGTGGCCAGCCGCCAGGCCCCGGCAGTGGAGGCGCGTGCGCCGCGCCAGCGGGCCCAGCACGGGCCTGGCCGTGGGTAGTGGTGGTGGTGATGGTGGTGGTGGTGGTGGTGGTGGTGGCGGTGGTGTGCATGTCGGTGCGGTTGAACCCAGACATCCAACAAAATAGTTGTTGTTTTTGTTCCCCCTCCTTCTTCCTTCTCCTCCTCCTCCGCCTCCTCCCGCTCCTCCTCGACATCCGACCCCTGCGCAGAGAGAGGTTTCGCTCAAGACCCGTTTCGGATGGCCCCGCGGCCAGATGACGGGCACTTCCTGGGGCCCGAATCGAGGACGACCAGCCGGTTGAGAGAATCGCGCGTCCCCTCCTCTCGGGCTCCAGACGCACCACTTTTCCCAGCTGTGTCCAGCCGTGGCGATGAGGGACCCCCCCGAAGGCCAACTGCCGTTGTCCCAACGCGCCCTCCTCCAGTCAGGAGGGGAACAAGAACACAGAGACAGAACGAGCCGTCGACCCCCCTGAAGATATGTGGGAAAATGGGGGAAGCGGGGGGGAAGACAAGAATCCCAGGAAGACATGGGAAGAGATGGGGAGCTCCTGGGGTTCGTGCCTACCCCTTTGGCTGTGTGCCCCTGGGCCCCCTCTCACGGAGACCCTCCCGCCAGGAGCCCGACGAGGCGGGCGCCTGCCGGGCCTGCGCCGCCGGGACGTTCAAGCCGTCCGCGGGGCAGCGCGCGTGCCAGAACTGCACCGCCGGACGCGTGGCCGCCGCGAGCGGCAGCCGGCTCTGCAGCGAGTGCGGCCCGGGGACCTTCCAGGGCGCGGAGGGCCAGGAGGAGTTCGCTGGGCAGCCGGGGGGGAGGGAGGAGGAGGAGGAGGAGGGCGAGGAGGGCTTCTGTCGATATATGCATATATACATATGTATGTATCGGTCGCTAGATATACATATATATACACCTATATATGTCTATACACGCATACATATACGTATATGCATATCGATCGATCAACTCATACATCACATCATACATACATACATGCATGCATACATGCATACATGCATGCATGCATGCATACATACATACATACGTACATACATACAAACAGGCATACGTGCGTGCGTACGTACGTACATACATGCATGAATGCATACATGCACACATACATCCATGCATGAATGCATCATGCATACATGCATACATGCATACATGAACACATGCATACATGCATCCATGCATACATGCATGAATACATGCATACATGCATACATGCATACATGTGTTCGATGTATACAGGTATACAATGCATACATGTATACATGCATACATGCATACACGCATGCATGCATACATGCATACATGCATACAATGCATACATGCGTACATGCACACATGCATACATACCTACATACCTTCATGCCTACATACCTGCATACCTTCACACCCACATGCATACATACATACATACACGCACGTACGTACGTACGTACGTACGTACATACATATATACATGCATACATACATACGTACATACATACATACATGCATACATATATACACATACATACCACATACATACATACCTACATACAAACATACATACATACACACATACATACATACATACATACGTACGTACGTACGTACATACATACATACATACATACATACATACATACATCAATATATACACATCTAAAATTATCAAGGAGGAGGACGAGGAGGAGGAGCTGGAAGAAGAGGAGGAGGTGGAGGAGGGGGAGGATGAGGAGGGCGAGCTGGAAAAGAGAGGAGGAGGCGGAGGAGGAGGAGGAGGAGGAGCGTGCCTTTGCTCGCATCGTGCCTCTCTTCGCAGGAGGAAAAAACCATACACCTTAGCTTCTGGCGCAGCGTGCGGATTTCTCGGATCGGCGGCCTGGGCCTCCCCGGCGCCACCCCCTGGCGCGCTCCGCGCTGCAGGGCGTGGGGTCAGCGTGGAGCGAAGAACCCCGCGCGAAGCGCCAGCAGTTTATGTTCCTTTATTTAATCGCTTCGCTCATTCCGCCGGCCCGTATTGTGCCATCGCAGGCGTTTGCTTGCGCGTTCGTGGCCTCTTGGAGCCTCGGTGGGGCCGTTTGGGGCCTCTTGGCGCCTCTTTTTAGGCCTCTTGGAGAACTCGGGAGGCCTCCAGGGGGCCTCCTGAGCTCTCGTGACGGTCTCTTGGGGGGCTTTCGGCGGGCTCTTGGCGGTATTTGTTGGTCCTCTTGGGGCCTGGGGCCTGACGTTGTTGGTCCTCTTGGGGCCTCACGGGAGCTTATTGGGGCGTCTTGGGGGTGTCTTGGAGAGTCTCTTGGGGCCTCTTTCGGGGTCCTGGGCGCCTTCTGGGGCGGAGGGCTCGATTTTTCAGTTCTCGGTTCCCTTCTTGAGCCCCTCTTGGGCCCGTCTTGGGGCCTCTTGGTCCGCCTTGGGCAGCACTTGGGCCGTCTGGGGGGCGCTCTTGGGCCGCTCCGGGGCCGTCTTGGGAGCCTCGTGGGCCGTCTTGGAGCAGTCTTGAAGGCCTCTTGGGCCCTCTTGGAGCGTCCGGAAGCGAAAAGGCCAGAACGCAAAAAAACATAGAAAAAACCAATGAAAATCAACGATTTTGGCAACTTGGGGCCCTCTTCGGAGGCCTCTTGGAAGGCCCTTGGAGCGTCTTGGAGGCCTCTTGGGCTGTCTTGGGGCCATCTGGGGCGTCTTCGGGCGATCTTTGGCCGTCTCGGGCCTCTCTTGGACCGCCTAGAAAGCTTCTCGGGGACCTCTTGGACCGATCTGGAGCCCTCTTGGACTCCGAAACAGAACTCCGGCATCTCTGGCCCGACCTTGCCGGGACCTTGCTGGGACCTTGCCGGGCCCTTTTCGTCCGGGGACCCCCAGGGGCCGCCCCGCGCGCGCGAACTAGAAATACTGTTAACCAGGTACCGGAGATCTTAGCACGCCCTGGCCCGTTGGGCCGGCGAATTGTGTTATTATGATTTGTTGTTGTGCTCATGTTGATTCGTATTAGTACCACCATTTTTATTAGTTATATAGTTAGTTCTTATTATTATATCTAAGTATCAGGAGTATTCGCATTTGGACTGTTATAATTCTTATCGTTCTTACAAGTTTTCTTCTCCTCATGGTTATACTATTATTATGATTCTTCGTCTACGTCCACGAACTCGCAAAGTGCCTGCTCGCAAAAACGTCCGAGACGCCATACGTCTGCCTTTGGGTGCAATATCTATATCGTGAACCCCTGCGGTGGCTCCTGGCCACTTGCGAGCAGGCGCTCCTGCGAGTGGCGGGTTCGCGCCTGCCTATAGGATTGCAGGCCCTCTGCCTCCGCGGTGCCCCTTCCCGCAGCCCCCCCCCTGGCCGCCCCCTCTTTGCCCCCTTCTCTTCAGGAGGGAAAAAACACAGACACAATTACTCGTCGATTCCCCAGGCAATTTTTTAAATATGGGAAGTGGGGGGGAAGACAAAAACCCAGAAAATATGGGAACATATGGGGAATCCTGTTATTTGTGTGTATTTATTTGTGTGTCCCAGGGCCCCTTCATCTTTGCCCCCTCTCCCCCGCCCGCGTACCTGGATCGGCGCACGGCCCCCCTCGCGGCGCCTCATGCGCCGCCCCCGGCGGGCATCTGGCGAAGTGCCCAGAAACATCTGCGCGGAGCTCCGAGGCTGGAAGCTGGAACCTATGCACTGCCAGTGGCGGGCGGCTGTTCAATCCCAGGACTTTTTGTGAGGCTCGGTGGACGACGTCGGGGTGGTGTGGTGTATACATTTTTCCCGTTTGCCCAGGGAAACGGCGAAACATGTGTACACCAGGTTCCCGTAAACACCATGATCCGCGCTCCTGTCTGCGAATTTCAGCGCAGGGTCGGAGAAAGCGTCGGTGTATAGACTTCGTGTCCCTACGACGGCTCATCTTCGGTGTTTTCTTTTTGTGACGCTTTCTTCTGCGCCGAATTCCTCTCCCTCTCGCTCTGCCCCCGCAGTCCGGTTCCCCAGGCATGCCCGCGCCTCGAACACGAAAAAGCACGGCGGGAGGCGGGGGGCATCGGCCGGCCTCGGGGCCGTCAGCCACCTGTTCAGGGTGAAGAAGTTGTCCCCGAGATGGGTGGAGACCTCCGGGGCGGCACGCTGGTGATCGTCCTTCTATGCATTGTTTTGCCGATCGGCGCGGGCTCTCGCCCCCCCTCCGTGGAGTAGGTCTTGGCTGTTTTTGGCGCGTGTTTCGAGCAGGTGGAGTCCCTCCCCCCAGTGGGCGCACAGTTGCGAGCAGTCGCATTAAGCAGAGGTCCGGAGCCAGACCCCCCCCTTTCCTCCCCTTCTTCGCTCAGTGTCGAAACGCTGAATAAGAGACGCTCACGTGAAGACGTTGTCCAAGAGTTGGATCGAGACCTGAGGGGTGGCACGTTGTGAGCCAATCGTGACGTCGGGGGTCTGGGATCCCATTCCGAATTTCCCTGCGCGCCTGTGCATTTCGGAGGAAGAGGAGGTGCCGATACCGCGACGCCTCCCTCGTCGCGAAAGGCCGGATCCGCTTCGAAGTCCTAGTCGGAGCGCGCCACCTGGGAGAGGTCCGGGCGGTAGCGGGGCGGGTGTTGTGCGTCTGGAGTGTCCGTTTTGTTGTTGGGGTGTGGACAACGATTGATCTTTCTTCCTCCTCCTCCTCCTCCTCCTCCTCCTCCTCCTCCTCCAGCTGCCATCTGGGCCTAAGATATTGTCAATGCAGCCCAGACCGCCACCATGCGATTCCTCGGACCGAGCAGACAAAAGGGGCGGCGGCCCGCATGATGGCAGCATTCTCAGCTTCTCTCGCTGTGCTCCTCTTCTGCCGCCACACGGCCAAGCCCGACAGGCTCGCGGTGAGATACGAGGAGGGCAACAATATCGACCTCATCGTGGGGACATCACGCAGACGACACGTCATCACGCTGCACGGCCGCGGCAACACAAGATACGACGACGCGGGCTGGCAAACAAGGGAAGAGATCAACCACAGCACGGGCACCATCATCGACATCCAGGAGCTGCAGCTCAGTGGAAGAGAGCTCGCGATCACCCCGCATACGCCGCTGATCATAGGAAACTACAGACCGCCACAGTACTACGCTAAGACGAGCAGAGGGTTCAACTGGATAGAAGAAACCAGAGGACAGAAGCATTGTCGAGGGCGACCTCAACGATACACAGAAAGGAGGACGATCAGAAAGACCAGCGCACGAAGAAGGCGGATCGCCCGAACGACTACCAGGCGGAGCGGGACAAAAGGCTCGCACCTACGCCGGCCGCCATTTCGGAGAGAAGAACGCGAGGTACATCATGATACGGAGGAGCATGACCGAGAAGACGATATCTCAAGGACCCCCGCTAACACGCTGCCGATCCAGACGAGACGTACCAGTGCAAGTGACCTTGCTACGACAACAGTTACGACAGCGACCTCAGCCAACGAGACGGGGAAAGCACAGCCTCGCGTTCGCAGCTCGACACGGACGACACAGAGGAGAAGTCATCGAGAAGGTAGAGCAGAGGACAGCGGACCCAGCAGGAAAGGGAGCCGATCCGCTCATCACGGACAACAACACCATCCTCGTAGAGACAGCGCAGAAGTACTACTGCCAGGCGCCGAAACTGACGGACTACCGCGAGAGGCTCACGACTCACAACGAAAGGCGAATCGCACGCCAGCGGCCGAATCGTCGCCTCCCCCGTTTTGCTCGGATGAACTCGAACCCAGGGACCTTCCAGGGACGGTCGTTGGCCCGCCCAGGTCCCAGGAAGAGACAGAGCTGGATGGCAATCCACACGCCACAGACAAACAGCCGATCATGGAGTTGCGCGGGAACGAGAAAAAGCCGCACGACACCAACGGCAACGACGACGAGCACAACAACTACGCACAGAGCAACGAGACGAATAACTATCACGAGCAGGAAGAAGATACGAACCACGCAAGAGGGACTACTGGACGGTTACTACGACGAAGCAGGAATGACATTGTTTTTGCACCCAGAGGTACCACAGGGCGACGTTCAACACCGAGCGCAGAGACAGCCTGGAAACACCTGGCCGGGAGCTGGGAGAATAAGTGGACGCGGCCTCGCTCGACAGCCCACACACCCGCGTGAGGACCGAAATGGCGAACTACACGGGGCGCATGTTCGACGCAGGAGCGGAGTGCGATAACCTCGAGAAACACTACAAGGACGTCATCGGGTGGCAGGGCAGAGAAGATAACAGACAGCATCCCAATCTTCTTCGCACGCAAGAACAAGGGCAAAGGAGGGGGCATCACGGAGAAGTGCAGGCTTCAGTTCCAGACGAAGTCAACGGACACGCAGATGGAGACGAGCCGCAAGATCGGGGCGGCGCCGCACGGAGAACGAGAACTGGGACGTCTCGCCAGAACGACACGGAGAGAGGAGCGACACAATATGATGTGAGTGAGCGGACGGCGCGGCTCTGCCCTGCCCCAGCGAGTGCGGCCCCACAGGCCACCCCATTTTTACGCACCAGCGCACGATCCCACGAGCTGGTCAGGGAAGGACGCCCTCCTCCTCCGCCTCCGATCGTGTCCTCCTCCTACTCCGAGGCCCGAGCTTCCCTGACTAATTCGTCGTGCACCGACTCCCCAGCCCCCACCCGAAGGGCAGAGAAGACGGGGCAGTAGAGGAACCAGCGAGAGGGCACCGGATAGCGGGTGCTACCCTGCCCGCAGAGCCCCTGCGCGGGGGAGGACGGTGCAGGTAGGGCCCGAGCGCCTCAGTGGCGCCCGCGACCCCCTTTCAGAAAAGCGACCTCAGCTAGGCCACGCAACTTTATTAAGCAGCACAGCGCGCAGCGACAGTGCAGCACCGAACCAGCCCGAGAGCTCGATCGATCGATCCTCCTCCTCCTCCTCCTCCTCCCGTTCCGCCCCCCACCCCTTCTCCCAAGCGAGGGAGGCTCGAGGATTGCCGCCACTCGCCGTCGCCGCGGCGGTCCCAGGCATGCGATGTCTGGGGGATAGTTGTTTTGCCTGACTTTGCCAGTCGGCGCGGGCCCCAAAACCCGCCCTCCCCCCCCCCCCCTTCGAGTATCGGGCCGGACGAAAGGGGGGGATTGGGAAAGGTGGGGGTACGAAATTTGCGGCATGCAGCTGGTTTCGGCCTCACCGAGGGGTCCATTCCTCGATACATAGCCGCCTCCGGCGCTGGGAGGCGCCGGGAAAATCAGCTACGTGAGCTGATTCTAAACCCCCCCCTTTGCTATCCCCCCCTTTCGCCCGACCCGAGAGTAGATCTTGGCTTTCTTTTGGCGCCTGCTTCGGACGGGTGGGGTCCCCCCCAGGGGCCGCACTCTTGCGAGCAGTCGCACCACGCAGAGGTCTGGCGCCAGACCCCCCCCCTCTCCCCCCCCTTGCCGCCCAGTGTCGAAAGATTCCGCGCGCGCTCCCCGGGAGCCCCGGCCCCCTCTCTCTGGAGCGAAAGAAGGACGTACACGTACATGAATCCACGCTGGTTTCGAGAGCACGCGTTGCCCGCAAGTTCGTATCACGCGGCCGGCCTCGCAGATCGAGGGGCCGCGTTCGTGTACATAGCTGGGCGCGTACGTCCTTTTTGTGGGCTCCCTACTCTCTCTCTCCCCGGGGCAGCCCCAATGTGGCGGTCCTCCCGGCCGGGCGAGGGCCCCCCCCCCAGCTGGGGCCGGAGAGAGAGGACGGGGTCGCAGGGCCGCGCCTTCCTCGCCGATGCCTCGGCGATGCGGCTCGAGGCGGAGCCCGTGCTCCCCCACGCCGACGCCGCCGAGGCATCGCACACGTCGACGACGCACCGCCGAAAGGCATCGCCGAAAGGCGTCGGCGGTGCGGCGGGATCCTCTGGCCCCATCTGCTCCCAGACCCCATCCAGGAGGCCTCTGGCCTCGCGAGGGCCCCAGGTGCCGAGAGCGCAGCAGAAGCCTCGGTCGGCATCTCCGCCCACGCCTCTGGCTAGGCATCGCTCGGACGTTTGCATGTTTCCTTCGGCGAGGGCCATCGAGGAGCATCCTTGATGATTTGGCGAAAAAACCACGCACGAAACCGACAAAAGACACAGGGAAGAGACGTCCGAGCGATGGCGAGCCTCTGGAGGAGTCCGGGACCGCCGCCGCCGCCGCCGTCGGCAACTCGCCGCCGCCGCCGCCGCTCCCCGCCACGGCAGGAGTGCTCGCAGTGCCCCGCGGGCTCCTTCGCGGCCGCGGCGGCGAGCACCGCGTGCCTCGCCTGCGCCCCGGGGTCCCGCGCCGCCGCGGCGGGGGCGCCGAGCTGCGAGCCGTGCCTCGTGGGGTACTACCAGGAGACTTCGCTGTCGGAGCAGGGGGCTTCTGTGGGGCAACTCCTGGGAGGTCGAATTTTACCAGCCTCGAACGTACCCCTATCCCTAAGATTGACACGCCAAAAGGCGATGACAATCTTAGGAATTCGCCCTCAAAAAATCAGGGAAGCCCTAAGATTGGCATCGTGATGAGGAGGTGCCCAGCATAGGGATAGGGATATGTTCCAGGCTGGTAAGATCTCGCCTCCCCAGCTTCATCCGGCTGACTCCCGCTTGCTCCCGCTTCATCCGCCTTCATCCCGCTGAATCCGAGGCCCACTCCGGCGCAGCAGCCCCCCAGTGGGGCGTAATCCTCAGCCCTTCCGAAGAAGGCCTCCCAGTAGTTGCCTCCCAAGGGAGCGGTAAGGATGTGCACCGCCGTCGTGCCATCGCTCGGACGCCCGTTCCCCGTGCCTCGCTTCCTCGTCTGGACTCATAAGTGATTTGTGTGTTCTCCGGATGCTCCAAGAGACTCTCCAAGATTCGGGGGCGGCAAAGAGGGGGGTGCTGACTAGGGGGGGGGTGGATATCATGGCGGGGTCAATGGTATTTCCCCAGATCTCATGGCGCCTCTTCTTGTTTCATTACGTCCCTGGCCCCCCCGCTGGGCCGCGCACATGCCGCCGGCCATGATTTGCACCCCCCCCTCTTGGACACCCCCCTCTTGGCCGCTCCCGAAAGGTGGTCCAGATGTGTTGGCCCTGGCGAAGCCGAGAAAAATGCACACGTCCGAGCGATGCCTTACCCTTCAGGAGTTGCTGGAAGTGCCCCTGGCCCAAGGTTCCCGCAGGATTTCCATGGAGGCCCACGATCAGAGCGTTAATTACCTGCCCCGCTTCCGCTTCCAGGCAGCACCAAGCCATACCACGCGCCTCCTCGTCAAGCGGCCTGACCAGTACAGGCTGCAGTTTGGCATCGTTTGGTATCTCTTGGAAGCGAGGGTGGTCAAAAGCGAGGTAGGTTTGTTATCCCCCTGCACGAGGCCTCCAGAGCACCCCCCACGAGGCGCAGAGGGCCCCGGGGGCTCCAACATGGAGCGACAAGCGGGGGCCACCTTGAGCCAGATGCACCCTTTGCAGCCCCCGAGGAGGAGGAGGAGGAGGAGGAGGACGACGAGGATGAGGAGGAGGAGGAGGAGGAGGAGGAGGAGGAGGAGAAGGGGGAGGAGGAGGACGAGGACGAGGAGGAGGAGGAGGAGGCGGAGGAGGAGACAATCAGGATCGGTTTCGGTTCGGGAGGGCCCCTGCTTCTGGGGCCGTTTCCTCAGAGATGTCTATGTCGAGGCAGCTGTTCTTGGCCGAGGCTCGCCGTGGCCAGAAAGGCCCCTTCGTTTTTTATTCAGCGCTCCTTTCAGGGGCAGAGATAGGGGGGATAGGCATAGGGGGGGATGCATCGACCCCCGATCGCCCATTGATCGCCGATGGAGGCCCGATAGCCCCAACCTACCCAGGAAGGTGCGGATTCACTATCGGAGGCCTGTCGCCGATCTATCGGCGATGTATCGCCGATTCCAGGTCGATGCTTCTCCATCTATCCCTATACCCCCCTATCATTGCCCCTCATCCCTCTGGTAGCGCGATGACTGTCGACATCGGTATCTTTTGGTTTCCCCAGCCGCCGCCGTCGCCGGGACGCCTGCCGTGTGCCATGCCGGTCCGGGCAGTCGGCCCATCTCGGGCCCAGGGTCCGCACATGCTGGACCCATCTTTTCGTCATGCAGGATGGGTAACCTGAACAAGACGGGTCTTACTCCTCCTCCTCCTGCTCCTTCTCTCCTCCTCCCCCTCCTCCTCCCCCTCCTCCTCCTCCTCCGCCTCCTCCTCCTCCTCCCCCTTCTCCCCCCCCCCCTCCTCCTCGTCCTCCTCCTCCTCCTACTCCTCCCCCTCCTCCTCCTCCTCCTCCTCCTTCTCCTCCTCCTCCTCATCCTCCTCCTCCTCCTCCTCCTCCTCCTCCTCGTCCTCCTCCTCCTCCTCCTCATCGTCCTCCTTGTCCTCCTCCTCCTCCTCCTCCTCCTCCTCCTCCTACTCCCCCCCCTCCTCCTCCTCCTCCTCCTCCTCCTCCTCCTCCTCCTCCTCCCCCCCCTCCTCCTCCTCCTCCTCCCCCTCCTCCTCCTCCCTCCTGGGGATTTTCGCCGCTCGCGGTCTCTCGGGGCCCTCCGCGGGCCCCCCGGGCCGTCAGCGCAGGATGAGGATGCTGTCCTGCGGGAAGGCCCTGGGCTCCACGGGGTCCAGGGCCCGCTTGCCTCTGAACCGGTCTCCTCCTCCTCGTCCTTCTTCTCCTTCTTCTTCTCCTCCTCCTCCTCCTCCTCCTCCTCCTCCTCCTCCTCCTCCTCCTCCTCCTCTCGCCAGGACGAAGGCGAGAAAGGAGGGGTCCAGCGCAGATCCGAGCAACCCGCGCATACGATCGGCACTTTATAATCTATGCTTGTTCAGTGTTTCTCGGGGGAGAAAAAGATACGGATACGTGTTGTCCCCCTTCGTTTTCGGCCTTTCCTGGTCCTCCTGGGGAATCCTCGTTGTCACCGCTGGATTCGCCGCGAAATTCTGGTCAGAACGCACCCCAAGAGAGGTCCGGTGACAACACGTATCCGTATCTTTCCGCCCCCCAACTGATGTCTTTCGGGGGTGGACACACCTCCCTCCCTGACACGTCGATGAAGGAATTGGCCGTTCTCGGTTCGCGAGAGGGCGTCGCGGCCGTCATTTTGGCGGGTCCAGGTCCGTCGGTTTCGGTCCCAGGCCGTTTTCACTAAGGGGAGGTCTACTAAAGGGAGGTTTGTCCACCGCCGAGTCTTGGGCCCGTCGGTGGGCCTGTGGCCATGGCCGGCGTGCTGCGTGGTTGGCGCTCTAATTACGATGGGGGAAGGTCCAGGCTGGAGGACAGTGGGAGCGAGCCTAATTATGCTAAGGAGCACCCTGCTTGCCTCCAGGGTGCCCTGGGCTTCTTGGGTTTCGATGGTTTTGCAATGGAGGGCGCGACGTTCCCACACCCAAAGAACCAATGGACGTCCTGGGGTCTCAGTGATGGGCTTCTTGTGGTGGGTTTCTTGTGGCGAGCTCTCAATGTAAGTGGGGGGCCTGGCCCCGATGGGTCGGCGGTGTGAGGCGCCATTCATCGGTTGCGCACTGCTGCGTGCAAGACTGCACAACTGCCGCGGGGGGCGCGGAACTGCAGTCAGCCCGCGCAGTGAGGGTGAGCGGCTTTCCAGGACAACCCTCGAGGAGTATATTTTTGATGCCCTCGGAGCCGAGCAACTATGCACGGGTACAGCGTCGGAGCCTTGCCAGAAGGGAGTCCAGACATGGTACGGTGCATGTCGGTGTCACCCTAACATACCAATACTGCGTGTGCGTCGCCCCCGAGGGGCGACGCCCGCACCGAGAAGTCATACAGTATATGCTTCGCGGCGGGCGCTTCCTTGCCATACCGCTCGTGAAACGATCTACTACAAAAATGGTTACACAGTCAGCCCGCATATCAACGATGAGCGACTTTCCAAGGCCACTCCAAGGCGATCTTCCAAAGCGTCGGAGGGGCGTCACCCCCGCCGACCCCCGTCGTGGGCAGCCACCGCGCGCCGAAGGCGCTCCGACCCCCGTCGCGGCGCGACGACGAGGCGAAGTTGGTCCCCGTCGGGGGGGTACCCCCCCCCCAACGCTTATTGAGAAACCCAGAGTACCCTTGCATCCTTGCCCTTCTTTTGCTGGCCGCGCCCCGCTCGCAACGCGTCGGCATGGCCTTCCAAGGCCCTCGCCCCTTCAGCGTGCGCCCTCATGATAGCGGACGCTGCACGGCTGCATCCACTCGCAGAGATTGCGTCCAGCGCGAGAGCTGTCGCATCCAGGCACCAGCTGTTGCATGCTCTGCTGCACCCCGCCCTCCGCGCTCCCATCTGCGCCGGGCCCACCACTTCGGCTCAGGGAGGGGCGGGCGGAGGAGGAGGGCACTCCTTGTGTGGCGTGGGGGGGCCAGAGGCCTCCAGGCACCTCGCCCCCGGAGGCCTCTGGAGATCTCCGCAGGAATGGACGCCCAGAAGGGGAGAAGAGAGAAAGAGAGAGAGAGAGAGAGAGAAAAAAAAAAAAGAGAGTCCAGGGGCCTCCGCCCAGAAGGGGGGAGAGAGAGAGAGAGAGAGTCCAGGGGGGGGGGGGCTACCAAAGGGAACTCGTGCGGCCCTCGGGAAGGTGTCCGTCCCCGCCCCAGGGGCCCGCGACGGGGAGGGCACCCCCCCGAGGCAGAGGCAGCCTCGGCGCCGACCTCGGCCGGGCTCGGGCGCGCTCCCTCGTGGGGTTGGGGTGGGGGGGGGGCGCGCTTAAACGACGCGAAGATCGGGACAAAATCGGAGCGGGATAACTCGAAATCTCTGAGAATCGGCGGGTTTGGAGGATGTATTGGGCGCCGCGGCCGCTCCAGAGCGTTCCGGAACGCTCGGATAGCGCTCCGGAACGCTCTGGAGCGATTTATCCCGATCCTAGCCTTGTTTTAGGCGCGTGAGGTTGGAGGCGCCCGCACGGGGGCCTCGCGAGGGGGGTGGGCTTCTGAGGAGGCGGCGAGGCGCTGCTAGGAAGGCATCCTCAGAATCCTTAAAAAAAACCAGGAGCCTTCTTTCAGAAGGCCCGGGGCGCTTCTGGGAAGGCCTCCTTCAGACCCCCAGAGCCTCTCTGGGAACTGTTCGGTGGCCCCCCTGAAGGCCGAGGAGGGGGAGAAGGAGGAGGAGGGAGCAGGAGGACCGACAGGAGGACGCTGCGAGGAGGAAGAAGGGAAGAGCGAGTCGGGGGGAGAAGAGGGGGAGCAAGTAGGAGGAGGGTGGGGGATGGGGGAGGGGGACGGCAGAGTGGGCGACGAGAAGGAGAGGAGGGGGCTCCAGGGGAGGGAGGCAGGTGGGGGAGGAGAGGGAGGAGGAGGAGGAGGAGGAGGAGGAGGAGGAGGAGGAGGGAAGTGGAGAAGGAGGGAGGAGCCCCCGACAATTCTCGAATAATGCTTGCATTCATCCTGGCCCTCCCTCTTCCCTCCTCAGTCCTCGAGGCAGGAGCAGGCGGAGGAGGTGGTGCAGGAGGCGGAGGGTGCGAATCCCTACCAGGAGCTCCCTGGGCGTTCCGAGTGCACCAGGCCGGCGTCGGGAACCTGCGCACCACACACCCTCTCAGCGGCAGAGGAGGCGCATGAGTTCCTGCATGCGCCTCCGATGCCAGACCCCTGGCGGCACGGCACAGTTCGTGCTGGCTATGCTGCGCTCCTGCCTGCGCGTGGAGGCAGCTTTCTGGGCCCGGGGCCCGCGCGACAAGCAGCTCGGGAGGGGAGGCCAGCCCCGAGGAGTGGGTCGGTCATGGAGGCCGGCCCCGATAAGCGCCGCTGGCGCCGGGGGGTCCAGCGCAGGTCCAAGAAATCCCCGCGGAGCGCCAACACAAGTTTAAGTGTACTTCTTTGTTTCGTCCTCTAGAGGGGCTCTAGAAGATTGCGGTGCATAGCACGGTGCATGTCGGTGTCATCCCAATGACCGGTATTGCGTGTACGTCGCCCCCGAGGGGCGACGCTCGCACCGAGGAATCTTGCAGTGTATGCTTCGCGGCCGGCGCTGTCTTGCGATACTGCTCGGGCAGCGATCTACCACAGGATGTGACGACCCAACGACACACACCCATACCCATAGAGGGGTCGGAGAGGGCTATGGGTGCGTGTTGTCGGATGGGGGTCCCCGCTCGAACGGGAGCGTTCCCCAGGGTCCGACAACCCGCACCCATACCCATGGCCAGTCCTCCTCCCAACGACCCCCCTTTGGGTATGGGTGTGTGTTGCTCGTTCGTCAGGATGGTTCTACAGCCGGCCCGCATCATAAGGATGCGCGACTCTCCGAGGCTACCCTCTGCATCCTTGCCCTTCGGCCCATCCTTGGCCTCTTTAGCTGGCGCCGCGCCCCGCTCGCAGAGTGTCGGCACGGCCTTCCGGGGCCCTTGCATCCCGATCGTGCGTCCTCGGTCTGCTGGCGGTTTGTGCCGCTGGGGAAGTCATATCTTACCAGCCTGGAACATATCCCTATCCCTATGCTGGGCACCTCCTCATTACGATGCCAATCTTAGGGATTCCCTTATTTATTGAGGGCGAATCCCTAAGATTGTCATCGCCTTTTGGCGTGTCAATCTTAGGGATAGGGGTACGATGGAGGCTGGTAAATATCGGAGGTTGGCCGATGAGATCGAAGTGCAACGGAGAGCCCCCAACCTAGAAGTCGGTGTCGGTTTCTGGTGCGTGGCGTGGCGGGCGAGGCGAAGCTGCGTGGGCGGGTGAGAGGAATGACCTCGCTGTGGCTAGGGCGGGTCAAGAGCCGTTGACCGCCCCTCCTCCCTCCCCGGTGGGCGGGCGGTGGCCAGGTTGTCCCGCCGTGGAGTCCCGTCGCTGTCCACCTCTCCCCCGCGGAGGGCGGGCGGTGACCGGGTTGTCCCGCCGTGGTGTCCCGTCGGTGTCTTGTCAGTGTTCCGTTGGTGTTCCGTGGCTGTTCCGTCGCTTTTCCGTCATTGTCCCGTCGCTGTCCCGTCGTTGTCCCGTTGTTGTCCCGACGGTGTCCCGTCGGTGTCCCGTTTGCTGTCCCGTCGGTGTCCCGTCGGTGCCCCGCCGGTGTCCAGTGGTGAGATCGATCGAGTGAGACCGATAATTTGTGGAATAATATCGCGTCGAAACACCGTCACCACGCGTCGTCGCCAACTCGAGGGCGCATCACCAGCATCGTCATCATCACAGCCATCGCAGTTGTCGTCAGGCTCTTCCCCCCCCATCCCACCCCACCAACCTCCTGGTCACCCAGAAGGCGGTTGCTGTGCAAGAGGGGTGATGCTATATGTTCGGGTCGGACGCGCACCTCCGAGGAGGACGGGGAGTGCTAGCATCAAGTCGGGCCTGTCCCTCTACAGGGGGAATCTTCAAAAATAGTATAACAAATGTCTAGGGAGCATTTTTTGACTATTGTGTGGTATCTTTTCGGAGTATGTTTTGAGTATGTTGCATTGTTCGTCCAAGATCCCCCTGTAGGGGGACACGCCCGACTCCTGGCATCGCTCGGACGTGTGCATTTTTCCTTCGGCGAGGACCATCGAGGAGCATCCTTGATCATTTGGCGAAAAACAACGCACGGAACCGGAACAAAACACCGGGAATGGACGTCCGAGCGATGCCCAGGACTCAATGCTGGCATGTCCCTTCGGCCTCCGATGCTCGTGGGCCTCTCGGCCCCAGGTGCCCCGCGGGCATCACCTCGGAGTGGACCCTGGTGGAGGGCAGGCGCCAGTGGGTGCCGGTGGAGGGCGCGGCGGGGCCGTCCGCCTGCGGCTGCGCGGCGGGCACCAGGAGCTCGCAGGCGAGGTGTCCCCCCCAGCCGCTCCCTTTCCTCCTCCCCCTGCTCCCCCCTCCCCCTCCTCCTCCTCCTCCTCCTCCTCCTCCTCCTCCTCCTCCTCCCTCCTCCTCCTCCTCCTCCTCCTCCTCCTCCTCCCCCCTCCTCCTCCTCCTCCTCCTCCTCCTCATCATCATCATCATCATCATCATCATCATCATCATCATCATCATCATCATCATCATCATCATCATCATCATCATCATCATCATCATCACATCATCATCATCATCCATCATCATCATCATCATCATCCATCCCCCTCCTCCTCCTCCTCCTCCTCCTCCTCCTCCTCCTCCTCCTCCTCCTCCCCCTCCCCTCCTGCTCCCCCCTCCCCTCCTCCTCCTCCTCCTCGTCCTCCTCCTCCTCCTCCTCCTCCTCCTCCTCCTCCTCCTCCTCCTCCTCCTCCCCCTCCTCCTCCTCCTCCTCCTCCTCCTCCTCCTCCTGCGGCTCCTCCTCCTCGTCCTCCTCCTCCTCTTCCTTAGCCCCAGACTGGTCGACGAGAGTCGGCCACGCACAGAGGGGGGTAGAGGGAGGGGGGAAGGCTTCTCAGGAGCACCCCTGCTCCCGAGAAGGCGCGGGCCCTTGCCTGCAGATGTGCATGGCCCGCGCCTTCGAAGAAGTAGCCTGCTTCTGAGAAGCCTTCCCCCCTCCCCCGAACCCCCCTTCGCGCGCTGCCAAGAAAAATGAAAAGGCCTATAAAATTGGAGAAGCCCTGGGATGCACTCCAAGGGTGCTAGTCCGACGAGCCCCTTATCGAAAATGGATGCCCTCCCATCGTGTATCCCAGGGTTGGGCCCCACATTTTTGGTCCAGTCGACAACCTCCCAAAGCCTGGGATAGGGGTCGACAGATCCCCTGTGAAGGAGCGATGGCGGCGGCGGGTGCGTGAGCTGCGGCACGAAAGAGACCACGGGCGTGATCTGCAGGGGGAAGGACTGAGATCGGATCGGATCGGACCGGTTGTCCTCGCAGGACGGGTCAAGCCCTTACTGCCGGGCGAGCGCCCAGATCGATCGCAAGGGGCCAGGGAAAAAGGCTCCGGGGTCAGAACCCCGAACACACTTCCGAGGCAGAGGCAGGAAGAAAACGCAGACGAATCAGTGGCTCAGTGAGCCGTTTCCTCCCTCCAGCCCCTACCGCCCCAGGGGGGACTCGGGGTCCGAGGAGGAAGAGTGCTGGTACCGCCGCCCTTCCCTCTTTGTGGTATTCTTGGGCCTCCTGGGATCGGCGGCGCACCCGGGGGGCAGTGAGAGGGGGCATGCCTTCTTCAGAAGGCGGTGGGGCTCCTCAGAAGCCCTCTGGCCTTCTGAGAAGCCGTTTCTGCCTTTGGAGAAGGCCTCGACGATTTCTTGGAAGGCCGAAGGCCTTCGGTTCTGCGAGGGCCCGCCCTGGCTGCAGTCCCCCTCGGGGCTCGCCACCGGTGGAGCCGCCGGTGGGAGGCCCTCGCCGCCACGACTGGATTCCCTCCGAGATTCTACAGTCGGGGCGTTGACCTAAGGAACCGTAAATAAGGAACGAGGCCCCTTCTTTTCCATAAGTTAAACTTCGATTTCCTATCGAAAACATAGGGAAAACCTGAGGCAAGCTGTGAAACACGTAAGGAACGCGGAGCCCCTCCCGAACCAACAGAGTTCCTTCTTCAGGGCCCCGACTGTAGGCAGAACGAGCCCCGAGGCAGGTCCGCGGAACCTTTGCCCACCACCCGCCACAGACCACCCCCCAACCCAACCCGAAGGTTTCAATCTGCCTTGCATCTCCAGTGGTGGGGGGGGGGTCGGGGAACGTTTTGGAAAAAATGAGCATGGAGCCCGTGTACCCCCCATCCAACCCGAAGTTCGGGTCCTCGGGTTGGGTTGGGGTGGTCTGGTAGGTGGTCATTTGTATCCCCCCAGGGCAGGAGAGGTCCGGTCTGGTTCGGTCCGGTTGGGTTCCGAAGTGCCTCTGGTTCGATTCGGTTTGGCTCGGTGTTGTAATATTCTGGTTCGGTTCGGTTCGGTTCGTCACATGTTTGTTTCCAGTTCATAGTTCCTGTTCCAGCTCGGTCCGGTTTGTGTTTCTGCCAGATCGCTTGGTGGACCGCCCAGCGAGTTCTGTCATCCTCGACGGAGGTAAGGAGGAGGAGGAGGATGCCCAGTGTAAAACCAAAAGTCCTCAACGATGTTGGAATTAACCCTCCAAGCTTCCTCTTCATGGGCCTCCACAGCGGTTCTTTTCGATTGAGGGAACTGCCTCGTTGGAAGACAACCGTTTGAAGATCCTGAAGCATGCCAATACATGATTCTCGGGATTTCAACGCCACGTATCAACCTGACTGATGCGTCTTGACGATCCGGAATCGTGCCAGGGCGCCACTTTTGGGACTTCGACACCGCGAACCAACATGATTGTTGCACCCGCATAATCCTTAATCTTTAGAAACGCAATGTTCGGAACGTTGATCATGGGAATCCGTGGAACTCTTGCAAAGTTTGAAAACGAATGTGCGTGGATCTAAGGCGAGAGCCACATTTTGAAAACGACCCGCCCTCAGTCCTCGAAACCCTTGCAAACTATTAGAGAGAATGTGCGTGGCGCTTCGGCGAGAGCCACATTTTGAAAACGACCCGCCCTCAATCCGTAAAGCTTCTGCACATGTTTAAAACGAATGTGCGCGACGCCAAGGCGAGAGCCACATTTTGAAAACGACCCGCCCGCAATCCGTGAAGCTCTCCCAATTTCCTAAAACGAACGTGCGTGGCGCTAAGGCGACAGCCACATTGAAAACCAGCCGCCTTCAATCCGTGAAACTCTTGCACATGTCGACCCGCCCTCAATCCGTGAAGCTCTTCAACATTCTTCAAATGAATGTGCGCGGCGCTAAGGCGAGAGCCACATTTTGAAAACGACCTGGCCTCCATCTGCGAAGCTGTTGCCACTTTTCAAGCTTCGGGGTCATCAATGGTGAGCGCCCGGCCCGCCCTAAAACCTGGAACCTCGGGGTGCAGCAGGAATGGAGGAGGAGGAGGGCCCATGTTTGGCGACTCCCCTCGCCGCAGGCCTCCCGCGGGGGAGGGGTCGCGAGGAAGGGGTCGCGCGGGGCCCTGCGGAGAGGGGTCACAGGTGTCCGGGGTGGTGGGTGTCACGGGGGTCACGGGGGGGCTCCCGCGGGGGAGGGGTCACGGGGGTCACGCGGGGGCTCCCGCGGGGGAAGGGTCACGGGGGGCACACGGTGGGCCCGCGGGGGAAGGAGTCACAGAGGCCCCGCGGGGGGGGGGGGGTGCGTCACACACAGGGGTCACGGGGGCCACGGGGGGGAGGGGTCACAGGGGTCACGGGGGCCCTGCGGGGAAGGGGTCACGGGGGTCACGAGGGTCCCGCGGTGGAGGGGTCACGGGGGTCACGGGGGGAGGGGTCATCGGGGTCACGAGGGTCACGTGGGGCAGGGGTCACAGGGGTCACGAGGGGCACGGGGAGGGAGGGGTCATAGGCGTCACAGGGGTCCCGCGGGGGAGGGGTCGCAGGGGTCACGGGTGGCCCGCGGGGGAGGGGTCACGGGGGTCACGGGGGGCTGCAGGCGTTATAGCGAAATCTCAGAGGCATCGACGACGACTCGTTGAGTTCACGTGGAGGTTCGCTCGTTAAGGTTCGGTCGGGTCCCGTTGTTTGTTCGTTCTGGTTCGATCGTTCCGGTCCGTTCCGGTTCCGCATCAAAATCGAGGCCGAATCGGTTTGGTTCGAGCATCGAAGACGAACGGTTCGGTTCGGTTCGGGTTGAAATTTTTACCGGTTCACGCTGGCTCGGTTTTCCTGGGATCCCCGCGGGGGCCCCGAGGAGGGAGGAGGTCCGCGGCGGCCCAGAGAAGAGCAGCGGCGCCCGAGACATCCAGGAGTTGTGAGGGGAAGGGTTAAGTCGGGCATGTCCCTCTACAGGAGGATAATTCAAAAATAATTAAAACAAACTGTGGGGGGCGATGTTTCGATGGTTTGTTGTGTGTTGGGGCATTGTTTGACTATTCTTGATTTTTCTCCCAAGCTGCGCATGTAGGCGGACACGCCCGACTTACGGGCAAATCCGAAAGAGGATGACGTCGTCATCGCGGAGGGCTTCTTCGCGGAGGACTCCTCCCTCTCGGTGTACCAGTGTTTCGGCGATTCGGCCCGCTGCGTGGGCGGCCCGCCCGGCGCGACATGCGCCGATGGGCGTACGGGGATCACGTGCTCCATGTGCCAGCGCGGCATGAAGAGGGGCAAGGGAGGGGTCTGCAACCCCTGCACCATCACCACGACCATCATCTTCGCGGCTGCGATTGCGGGTGGCCTCTCGGGCCTCCTGCTCATGTACCTCGTCATCGACAGCAGAGGGACCGCACAGCAGAGCTATTCGAACACGCCTCGCGTTCACTCCCAGCCCTTCGTAGTTTTTCGTTGTCTGAAGTTGTCAACTTGCAGACGGGGCGCAGGAGGAGATATTCGGGAGCGGGCATTTGTCCCGAGACCGTGTTGGGAACGAGTTGTACCTCGAGTTCGTTTCGAATTGGGCCGTCTTGTGTCCCGAAGAGCGGACGGAGCGCAGTGGGCGGCGGAATGGCCCAGCCTAGGATGCTGAAGTTTTGAAAGAAGCCCCGGAAGGTCAATATCGCACGCCTCTCACCCCATTGTGCGGGCCGATTGCAGACGGTTTGCGTTCCATAGATGGCCCCAATGCCCCCACAAGTGGGAGAGTGAAGTAGCCTTGAAGGGCCCGAGGTGGCCAATGATCCTTTCCATACGACCCAGAGAACGTCCCCTGTGTTGGGCCTGAGTCCCGTCCGAACGTATTCCACTGCGGGTCCAGATCGGGGCGACCCGGTCCCATATTTGGCCCAAGTTGAGCTCATAATCTTCGAACAGTGGATCTTGGAACACGCCCAAGCCGTCGTATAACTTGCCATGTTTAAAGCAATCGTCAAAGACACGCCCGAAAAACTATTGATAGTCGCCTCAGGGCGACCCCCGGGCAGACCAGCATCATCAGAATAGCAGTTTTGTTTGCAATGTGTTTGAAGGTCCCCGCTTGTGGGAGATGCGGGGAGCGGACCCAGTGATTAGTGTGCCGCGTAAAACCCCTTAGCTAGTCAAGTTCTACTTAGGGGGCAGGTCACCCATGAGGGACATACGAAAGGCCTTTGCAAGAGTCCGAAGGAATTCGAATATCAGTTTCAGCCATATCCAGGACAGCAGCCAGCAAAACACGAGAACACATTACCTCCCGGACGATCACTGAAGGAGGCAAGCAGCAAAACAAAGCAACTAGGCAACAGACCTGAGAAAAGTGATGGACCAATCCTGCAGAGTCCCAGACCAATAAAACCATGGCCGCACTGCGGCCATAACATTGGGAAGGCCTTGCGGCCAGCGCCGCCGACCACGAAGGGGGGCGACGACGACGGCGTCAGGCGATCGCAAACGGCATCAAGGGGACGTGGACTAGCGACGGGTCCGGTTTGCCTGGGAAATCGCAGATTTCCGCCGCCGAGCGAGGCGGCAGCGGCCGCATTTTGGGGAGTGCACCTCCCCCGATCCATGGATTTGGCGACCGCGCGCTAAATCCATGGATCGCTAGGCCATGTTTGCGCGCCTCCGAGCGGGGAGGCGGGGGGACCTGGGGGACACTGAGGGGAGCCGGGGGGAGCCAGGGGAGAGGCGGGGGGAGGCGGGGGGATGAGTAATGTTAGTAAGTTCGATTGTGGAATGATAAGAAGGTGGCACACACACACGCACACACACACACCGCAGGGTCCCAATGACACAATCATGCATGGAATAATCATCACCGTTAATGAATTAACACTGTTACCGGCAATATATACATATAGATAGTGCCAGCACGTGTTGATTGTCTGTCTCTCTCCGCAACTGCGCGGCTTAAGAGGCAACTTTGCATGTCGTGGCTTCCAGCCCTGGCTTCAGCAGTGCCTGCCAACGGAGGCGCTCGAGGCTTCGTTCTATTGCTTGGGATGGACCTCGAATCGAATTGGCACATACACCACAACAAAACTGGTGTTTGGTTATGCTCCTGCTGTCTGCGTTCGTGACGTTGGTCTCCGTGCTCGGCTGTATATGTGGGGTCATTTCTACAGCAATAGCTCAGTGGATGTGGCGTCGTCTTCCTCCCGTGTTGTCCCCAGAGCGTTTTCGCGACGGACTCCAGGCTGTGCCGTCAGCATCTCGTGGTACCGAGCTTGCTCCTGCCCTTTCGGTGGCGGCTCCTGTCAAGCACCATGGAGCGGGGCTCGAAGGTCTTCGCGAAGTACGACGGCCATCCCATATGGCACCAACGACTTTTACTCGAGCAGGTGGGCGACTTGGCCACTGAATGGGTCATCGCGACACCAGACGATGACGTGCACCTAGAGGATTCAGGCCGCCACAATGCTGACATAGAGGGTTTCAGATTCAGCATTTGGCGAGGAGATCTCCGCAGGGTGTTGATCCGCTACCGGTTTCGAGTGGAGCCCGAGGGTGCGCGGCCGCAGGCGTTCGCGAGGAGGCCCGACTGATCGCCCAGTCCGATGCGGCCCGAGGAGGTGGAGCGCCTGCAGCCAATCGGGACGCGCGGTGCGCCATCGAGACAGGCTCGGGCATCATGCAAGGTGCCTTTTAGCAGCTCCACAATCAAGCCCTGGTTCAGGGCGACCATGCCATTCACATTTTCCAGGACAACAGCGGCCAGGATGGCAGGGTCTTTTGCCTGCGGGTGGCGCCTGGCGACATGAGAGACCTCAAGAGGAAATATCACATCGAGGACAGCGGCGATGGTGACGCGAGGGCGCTGCCGATCAATACGGTCGGTGACCAGCGCAAGAGGGAGTTCGGCGACGCAGTCTCGAAGAAGGAGGCGGCCCAGTTCAGCGACTGGGAGACGCAGACCCCAGGCCCGCGGACTACCTTCTGGCACGTGGTGTTCCTGAGGTGCAGGAACGGACCCCTGGCCCATCACGGGCGATGAAGTCGACGGCCGCGCTCACCGGTCAGGACTACGGCGTGTCCTTGCATGAGACGGCGCTTCGCGCCGTGTAGGTTGGCTGCGGGTGCGACCAGCTCGACGTGGTCAATCCTGCGTGGAGCATCTGCTGAGGTCGGTCCAGGTGGCCCCGACAAGGAGGATACACAGGCTTCTGGACGGGCCTCGACTTGGGGAAGCTGACGGCCCTGCCCGGCATCCGCCAGAACCAGGGGGGCCCGATGATTGCATCCGAGCTGGCCGCCTACACCTCGAAGCAACTCGACCCCCAGAGTGCGATCGACATGCTGTCCCGCAGGGCGCGTGCGGGGCGCGTTCTGCGGAGGAAGTCATGGTGGACCTGGTCGACCAGGCACTTCCCCGCGCCTGGTCGGCGCCTCGGGGGGAGGGCCGAGCCGACGGCGCGGCAGCTCGAGCGGCTGCAGCGAACGACGGGCCGCATCGCCCCAGCGGGCGTCGCGCCAGCGAAGAGTCGCACCAGGAGACGGGCGCAGGCTAGTGAGAAGGTCTCCGCGCTGAGTCGGGCGCTGACGGAGCTGGGGCGAGGCGATGGCCTCGCTGATGCTGGCAACGGGCAATCTTCTTGCATTACGCTGGTCGTAGATGACATTCTAGCCTCCCGGGAATGGCGCGCGGGGCCCCCGCCTGAGTGGAACGACCCTCGGGGGGCCTTCTTCGAGCTCCAGGGGGTAGAGGGTCGCGCCGGGGCTCCGTGCCACCTGGCGCCTCTTGACGCGGACGGGCCGTCTCTTCCGCAGCCGGATTTCCAGCAGGGGCCATTGGGCGAGTTGTCGGGGGCCTGCGGCGCCGAGATCAGCGAGGGGCTTTCGCGTGATATCGTCTTGCCAAAGGAGCAGCCGCAGAGAAGTCGTGAGGAAGTTGGTCTCGTCGGGCCCCGCAGCGCCCCGCGTCTGCGTTCTAACAGGTTACCAGCGCGCATTGGCCCGCCATCTGGCCGCTGGCTTGATCGGGGACAGATTGCCGGGCGGATTTCGGCCTGGGTCGCCGACGGGGCAAAGGAGCGTTGGATTTTCGACGCTCAGATTCCTGCAATTTTTCGATGCCCGAGCCCCCATCCCCCCCCCCCCCCGCGGCCAGATTTTGTTTGAGGTTGGGTCTTCCAGGCGAAGGTGCGGCGCATGCATTTGCCTCGGGAATGAACGATGTTTTTGACGCCGCGGGGCTCCCCGACCCCTGGAGGCCATGGACCTGCAGGTCTCGGAGGTTTTTGGGCCCCCCCTGATGCCCTGCACCCTCGTCTATCTTTGTTTCGGGGCAGCGCCGATGATGGCCCCAGTCTGTCAACGCGCGCCAGTATGTTGTCGCGTCGTTGGTTTTCGAAGCGAACCTGGGGAATGGTCTTTTCTCGATCGCGCGTCGGGATGCGATGCCTTGTCTGGGGGCTGGGGCTGCTATCCCACACGGCGATGCCATCGTCGCGATTTTAACTGATGCGGAGGAGGGGGGTTATCAGACCAAGGTCAACGACATCATGGATGAAAGGGCGTCGGTCGCACGCGGCTTGGGCCGATCCAGAGGTTGCCGAGGCCTTGGCGCGGGAGTTCAGTCGGGGCGGGAAGTGCATCGCACCTGGGCGACGTGTTCTGGAGCGTCGGCAAGGCAGTGGTCGACAGCTCCCCCAACTGGCGGGCCACTTTGCGTCTGTGGCGCTGGCGGGAAGAGAGGCCCCCACGCTGCCTCAATGCTGCGTGCGCGTTCATGTCCAAGTATTCTGAGAACTCGGCCACCTTCTGGCCGTCAGTTATTCGATAGCTCCGATGGGCCCCGTCTTTCCTTCTTCTTTTCGCACCTCTTCTTGAACAACCTCACAGCAATCGGGCCCCGGCCTGCGACGCCTCGACGCAGGGCGTCGCGCGCAAGACCTCGCCTTTGGAAGAGATCCGGGAGCATACCGCCAGCATTCGGAGCATTGGAGCTCTCCGGGAACGGCGGGCTCTTTCAGGATCGGCGCCCTCGAGGCGCGTCTCGGCCGGGCGCCGCTGTCCGGGGAATTCGAGGGGGGGATGTCGCGGAGGAGGTCCCGGTGCCAACGCTGCCAGTTACTGGAAAGCGGGAGGGTCGAGGGGTCTCGGGGTGCTCCTGGGGGGTCTTCCACCGCGAGAAGTACCGTGCCCCGAAGCATATCACAGCCTTGGGGTGCCGTGCCTTCGTCTGGCGTTTACGCCATCTTACACGATTTTTTCCTGAGAGATCCCATTGATGTCTGATCGTCGGTGACAGTATGGCGTCCATTCTCGCTCTTGCCCGAGGGCCGCACCTCGGCTCGAGGCCTGGTGCGTCCTGTCCTGCCCGCCAGTTCTGCGCCGTGACCCTCAGGGCCGATGTTATGGCGGACCTGCGCCGGGTCGTCTCCGAGCTCAATCCTGGGGCGTTCC